TTTTTTTTTTTTTTTTTTTTAGAAAATGTACATTGTGATCTTGGAAAGGCTTACAAATGTGTGCGTGCGTGTGCAGACCGGAACTGAAGTTTCTCACTAAGGACTAGCAAACACACAGTGTCTGAAATGCTGAACCTCCACTGTCTTGGTGTTCGTTGCCAGCCCCATTAGTCTGGTCTTAATTTTATTATTTATTAACAGGAAATGTGATTATTTTTGCCCCTGCTTGCTCAATTAAAAATAAATGAATTTTTAAACAAGATTCAGGAAAAATCCAGTCACCTTTGGGCTGAGACCAAACGTGGGAAAAAAGTTATGAGCCAAAACAGGGAATTGAAATCAAAAGCTGATCTGAAGTCTTACATAGGGGCTCAATTCTGCTCTCAGTTCTGCTCCCTAGTTCTATAAATCTATAAAGATACTGAACCTCAAAAGTGTGTGTGTGTGTGTGTGGGGGGGGGGGGGGCCTTTGACTCAAACACATGGCATAATAAATAAGTTATTACCTTTTCTGGCTTGCTGGAGATATTTGGTCAACAAAGCTCCAATGTTGGCTTTTTGGTCAACATTTCCATCCACCCGTTGGACAGATCTCAGCTGGCTGGCAGATGAAGGAGTACGAACATGTCGATGATGTTCTGTCAAGCTCTGCTCCAGCTCAGGGGCCACAGGATTTGCATTGTGAAATCCTGTAGACTGCTGGCCAAAGGAGATGGTTGCGAGCGCAGCAAGGAACACACAGATGCAGATACCACTGTACATGGCTAGAGGGGAAGAGAAGCAGAAGTTGTAACAACAATTAGCTTCCTCTATTTCGGTGGTTCTCAACATTTTTTTGGTACCAGGACCCATTGGTAAACACTGATAGCCAGTGTCCCGACTCAGTAATAGTTTAAGTAGAAAATACACAAAGTATTTTGGCCCCAAGTTAAAACTACAAGTTAAAGCAGCTCAACAGTCTTAATTTTAAAAGACAGAAATCAATATCAGCAGGAAAACATTAACCACAATATCAGGACGTGGCCCTGCATTACTCCCAAGTGACATTCATGTTTTTCCATGATTGTTCATGACCCTTTCATATATTCTTGAGACCCACTTTTGGGTCATCATCCATGGGTTGAGAAACGCTGCTCTATTTTGTACTATGCCATCTTGTTAGAAGTGCTGATTTAAGAACAGATTTTAAAGTACTGTAACTCAAGCGTCTAGGTTAAGACCTTGAAGAGAATATATGCAATCTAGGTAAGGTGTCAACATGCCTGTAAGGAGAAGGAGAAATCTTTGAACACTACAGTAGCATGAGATGGGTTAAAAATGAAGCGATTGCAAGCCTTTCTTCATCTCTACAGCTTGATATATTCAATTCTTATTCATCTTTTTCATAGATCAGATTTAATAAAAACAGATGGTGCCCACTATGCACAAAACAAAGAACCCTCCCCAAAACAAATAAAAACAGCAACAATTGCCTCCCCAAAAAACAACCCCCCCCCCCGGGACAGAATATTTCACTTTTTTTGCTTTAAGTTTCAAAATGATACTGTGTGTGTTTCAGGTTCAAACGTTTGCAAAGAGCATTTGTTTTAGCAGCTCTTTTTTAGTGTGGCCCTAGTATTGCCAATGGTTTTTATTATATCTTAACAAACAAACAAACAAACAAACAAACTATAGCAAACTTGCAGCATAGCTCCAAGTAAAAGAAAAAACAAATCCTAAAATTGATCATTTGCTCCAATAGAGGAGGAGCCATTTGGTTAAAGTTTTGTCTCAAGCAACTTTTCAAAGCCATTTGATTTGGTCTATCTAGCAGAGAATTCTAATGCAATAGAGACGTGGCTGCTGACAAATAAGTCGGAAGATTATGCAAAATGATATCAGGCTTTGGCATGGTTGATCCTTCAGGGATCCTATGCACTGAAATAAAATTACTCTGGAAAAGGGAAAAGAAAAATAGTTAGAAGCTCCCGCGGTTCAGAAGAACACTGCTGGCCACTTCACAGTTAGCTGTTATTTTTCGTTTGCGTGCACATTAATGAAATCCCTCCTGGATCCAACCCCCTTGACAACAGAATGATTCCTTCCCAGGACGCTTCTAAAACTTCTCTCTCAGCAAAAGATTCAAGCAAACATGCCCATCCCACAAGAACGAGGATGTCCTTGGCTTAATAATGACGGGGGGTGCTTTATGTCTGGCAGAGGGGTGATCATCATTGCTAGGAAAAGGGGGCAGGAAACCAGGGGAAGAGTTGCAGTGCAAAGGGAAGAAACTGAGTGCGGAGGTATCCAGCACAGATTCCCCCACGCTTGCTCTGCCCCTTGCTTGGGCTAAGGAGGGTGGCTCTGATCGCTGGTCCCCTACCAGGTTGCCCTGGGATTGTGTCTCCTTTTTTTAGCTCAGGCAGAGCAGGAGGTGAAATGGTTTGAGAAGTTGATGGCAGGGTAAGAATATGCATGACCCCCCCGCAGTTCGTTCGTTCATACACACATACACACACACACACTCTCTCTCTCTCTCTCTCTCTCTCTCTCTCTCTCTCTCACTGTCCCACGATCGCCTAGATCGGAGCTGGAAAGCCACATGCCCGAGAACACCGCCCCAGCCTCTCCTGTCCTACCTTCCTTCCTCCGGGCAGATCTGGGCAGGGCAGGGCGATGTCGGAGGCCGAGTGCTGCTGCCGCGCTCCGCTGCCGCTTTAAGTAGCGCGGGGCTGGGGGGGGGCGGGGCTG